AATTTTGAATCCATTTGGGGGCTGGCACTTTTCACACAGACTTTGTTCTTCTTTTCTCACTTGATTTATTTTCCTCAGAGTAAAAAAAAAAAAAAAAAAATGAATAAAAAAGTCTAGAGAGCTGTAAGAGGGAAAACAAGGTCCTTTGATAGTTTCTCCATCATCTGAGCTAGAGACATACATCTAAGACAGGGGTAGGCAACCTATGGCACGTGTGCCAAAGGCGGCACGCGAGCTGATTTTCAGTGGCACTCACACTGCCCGGGTCCTGGCCACCAGTCCAGGGGGCTCTGCATTTTAATTTAATTTTAAATTTTAAGCTTCTTAAACATTTAAAAAACCTTGTTTACTTTACATACAACAATAGTTTAGTTATATATTAAAGACTTATAGAAAGAGACCTTCTAAAAACGTTAAAATGTATTACTGGCACGCGAAACCTTAAATTAGAGTGAATAAATGAAGACTCGGCACACCACTTCTGAAAGGTTGCCGACCCCGATCTAAGACATTTATGACAGTCAGAAATAAGGCTCTTTCCTCTATACGGCCACATGATCTCTGTGTCAGTAGGCTCCCCATGCCCACCAAAGTAGTCACTCAGAGGATCTGTGTGGCACGCTGAAGGGAGCAGGCTGCAGGTGGAGTGAAACATTCAGTGCTGAGTGTTTGCGTGCAAGTCTTTGAGAGTCAAACTGAGCTGGTGGGGTCACAATGGTGTGATCTCCAAGGCACTAAGGGCTTCATTCTGCACCACTGCAGTCAATGAGAACTTTGCCATTGATTTTGATGGGTGCAGAATTAGGTCCTAAGTGAGTGTGGGAAATGGGGTGGGGGCAGGGAATGCTGGAAACACTTTGAAGAAGTTTGCCGAAGTGGGATCTGGCTACTTTCCTGGCTAGTGGCATCCATACACCAACAGCTGTACGTAACCACAGCACCCAGTGTTGGCCATCGGTAGAGTCAGCAGACACGGCTGGCCGGACCCTTGGTCTGACCTGCTTTGACAAATCCAACGTACGCTATTTGGCCTAAATTATGGATGTTGTGTTCATGGAACAGAGAGATCAATAGCCAGGCAGAATGACAGCATGTGCTGTGCAAGCTTCCTGCCAATTCTACCAATGCATCTCGATTTTGCCCTATAGCAGACCCTGGTAACCATGGTCTGGGCGCCCACACAAGTCTGCACCTCAGTCCTAGCCTGCAGTGCCCCCAAACCTCTCCTGAGCAGAGCCTGCCAATTGTGTTAAATTCAGTGGCAGTTTGTGATGTTCACAGAATGGGGATGGGGAGGAGGAGGGAGACCCTCCCAAATGAGTTTTCACTGCTGAATCTAAGCAAGGAAGTAAACCCCTGGGCTTTACAGGTGAATGGCTGATGCACCAACCCAACTGAGCCACACACCTCTTGCTAATTCCCTGTAGGAAGTCAGCACAGATCTGCACTGTGACCTTCCTGGAATTCAGATGCCTGAAAGGACCCACCCTTGCAACATACAGCGCTCTCTAGACTGGGAAGGTGAGCAGCCTGCAGCCTGTCCATTGCCAATCCGGGCTGCTCCGGGGCACTGTTCTCTCCCACACCCTGCCCATGTGGGGCTCACTCCGGTATGTAGTCCCTGAAGGAGTTGAAGCTGAGGCTCCGGCCACCAGAGTTCAGGGTGGAGTTGGCATGCATCTTTGGAATCTTTTCCATCAGCTTAGACACGGCCCTCCTCTTGAAGGAGCCCGGGGAGAAGTGCCCCTGTCTCATCAGCTCATTATACAGGGTGTTGAACACCACCACGGTCTCGTCGTAGCTGTCCCTGGTGGAGATCTCGTAGAAAGGATGCTTCAGGGCTTTGGAGAGGTTCTCACCATCCTCACAAGACACCATCCGGTCAAACTGCAGGTCCTTCTTGTTGCCAACAATCACCACGGGCGGCTGGTCACTCCCACCGCTCCGCTTGGGGCTCGAGTGGATGTGGTTGATGAGGAAGCACAGCCTCATGACCTCGTCGAAGCTGCACCGGTCGGTCACAGAATACACCACGGCAAAGCCGTCGCCCCACTTGATCTTCTCCTCGATCTGCAAGGAGTCTTCCTCCTAGGGAGGGGAGAACAGAAATCATAGCATCACCACCCGAGGCAGCTTTTTAATGCAATGAGCTCAAAATGTTTTTACCAGCATTGGACCACCTCCTGCTTTCGCTCCCACTGGGGTCAATGGTAAAACTCAACAGTGCGCAGTGCCCTGTAATACCATTCTGGGGTATCAGTGCTGATTCGAGGCCGAGGGGCCACCAACATCACCTCTTGCAGAGTGGTCATTGGAGGCTGACCATCTAAGCATTGACCCAGTGTGACCCAGCTTAGCTTGTGACATCGGATTGGCAGCAGGCCATTGTGCAGTAATAATTAATTTACAGGCAGCCA